ATTCACTAGGTTCCAAACTATCAGATGTTTGACACGTTCCCTTGGGTGGGTATTCACGGATGAGGGTTGACTTGGGGTGAAGAAAAAGCTACCATAACTTCGCAGTGGTACTTCCAAATGAAATCAGAGGCATGAGTGCTCCTTTAAATTGAATCATCTGTTATGTACTTTTTTTGATATTGTGTCATAGCTAGATAACTGCATACGCAATTAAAATCTGATGCAAAAAAAAAGAAGGCCAGTAAATAACTATCGCCCTTTAAATTCCGACTAGCCCAGAAACCACCACCCGCGCCAATTAGTCGAAGGCCTAGACCACAGTAGAACTCACTCTAATAGCGAAGAATGGCATCCCAAACCAAACACATGTATGAGACCCGCTCCCGTTCATCTAACAAACTCCCGAACGCTGACGCCCAGCCTACCTCCTGGGCCGCCATTCACAATCAAAGACAAAGAATCTCTCCTGCAGTCATCAACTGTTCAAGAAATGACTCAAGGATTTCGAAACATGCAATGTTGTTTAAAAGAAGCAAAAAATCGAGCGAAAAATCTGAAGAATAGACAGAGAGTCTTCGAAAATCTTTTGCTGTCTTGAAGTCTGACAATACCCCATCTCAAAAACACTCGGATTACCTGTCTCAACCCGTGAAAAATGATCTGATGCCTGATCAAAGTTTCCGTCCCAAAAAATAAATACTCTTTAAATCCTTCGATTGAGAACCGGACAACAACTTTTACAGTGACTCTAAATTGTGCGAGCTCTCTAGTCCGTGTTCACAAAATCAAAAGCCCCCAGAACCCTCCTCCCGCTCCGTATCGAGCCGTAGGAGAATGTCTCTCATCTTCCCGAAAACAAGAAATTGTCCAACGGCGATGATTCCGATTCTGCACTCTGGCAGCATGCAATAACCAATAGCTTTAACGGGTATTATGACCGCTTTTTTGATGATGTATAACGCCGTAAATATGTGTACAAAAATACAGAAGCCGACGCTGCAAAGCTTTTACGAAACTAGATCCTCAAACCTGCTCCCGGATAGGCCCCGTTTGATCTATTGGATTATATTGCACAGGCTTTTACGGACCCTGCAAAGCGAGAGAAAACAACTGCCGAATTTGATAGATTACTAACGTCTCCAACCTAAACTTTCTGGGATTTTTGGCAAACATTCAGGACGTCATCAGCCGAAGCAGAGTACCAGGACGACCGCTTTCTCCGCGAACAATTAAGAGCGAAAGTCCTCGTCCGACTCTCAAATGCGGTACAACTTGACTTGAAGCGCTGTCCCAATTTGAACGACTACGTCAATGTGCTGCAGGATGCTGATACACGTTTTCAGATAACTCAGCATCGCCAAAAACGTTAATCTCTTGCCTATGCAATTTCAGAAAAGAAGGCTCTGGCAAGTTTTTCGTCAACTCCCGCTACAACTTCAAAGCTAACCAACCGCTCTGTCAATTTTTCAAACGGTCATGTCAAAATTTCAGGCCATCTAATAATCAAATCTCGACTCCCAGAACAATCAAACAGCTATCATAAATCTCGCTCTCTTTCTTCCTCATACACAAATAACTAACGAGGAGATTCCCGAAAGCCTGCAACTCACTCCGAAGATCGCCACCGATCACACAATCCGAGTCGTATTTACAAAATCTAGGCAGATCTCGAAGGAGAAGAAGTTCAGGAAGAAGATTTGGCATACACCCATTCCACGATCGAAATTAAGCACGAATCCCGAGCAAAAGACGATGCCTAGGCAAATCAGCTTTCCTAGGTATGATGAAGGATACGAGATGCTTAGATACCACCCGGCTACTTGGTGGTGAAGCCATGAATCACCCGTTTATTCTTTCCAAATTAGGGATAGGATATCGTGTGACAGCTCTCATAAACACAGGCGCCAACGGCTACGCTTTCATCGAGCGTCATTTGCTTGAGGCCCATTTTGGCATGCTATCTCCCCGTATACAGTCGCTCCCTCATTCGATTCCTGAGAAAGGTTACAATAGCGTCGCAGGTCGACCTATCAACCAATTTGTTTATCTTAATCTTATGATGGGTCATTGTGTCCAATCCTTCACTCCATTTTTGGTTACTGATCTCGGTAATCATGGCATAATTCTTGGTCTCAAATATCTGGCCTATCACAAAGTTATAACTCACAGTAACCATCGAAAGCTTATCTGGCCCAATTCATATCCACCAACTGTTGGAAAGATTGCGCAATATTTATGAAACGAAAGCAAAAGTTGACTAAAAGAGTGTCATATTCAGATTAAAGCTAAAAGTATGGGAAGTGTGCGCTACAAGTACAAGTGTAAGCGACACAGAGCCTAAGCCACAGCATAAACGAGTGTGGCGCCATCTAGGTATAGAAAACCCCCAATAACCTCCTTGTGCCCACGCCATACAGCCGCTCATGTCTCTAATAGGTAGCCTGAAGCGCTACCATATTCCCTATTCCAACCCCATAAATACATAGAAGATCGTGTCGGGAACCTAGACGAAACGGAGGGCCCGTACGTCCACAACACTCTATAACTCCATTTCTAACACCAACCTACAGCGGTGCTCGCCAGATATTGATCCAAATTAAAAATAGGGCGATAATTATCCGTACCCACCAACGTGATGCGGATAGTCGAAACGCTCTTCAAGCGAAATAAGAATAAAATCTCCTTAATAGCCAAAAATAAATCCAAATAAACGTTGCCCAATTTCCCCCAGAAATACTCAATCCTATTAAGAAGTCATGTCTGGTTATCCTCAAGGTAGATAAGACGAGTGATATTGAAACCGAAGTGCCGAGTTCTACTGTCCCCTCGTTACACCTGTCAATTCCTGTTCGAGAACATAATGATGTACTTTCCCTATTTTTATTTATTTATCCATTTATGTCTTATTTGAGTTTACAACTATGTAGGACAGAAAATTTAAATACAAATTTTCTTTTCCATTCTAATTAGGGGTTTCCTTCATTTGATGATGGGATCCCCATTACTGGTTTATCATGTGGAATACTTTCCCTTAACAATCCCAATAATTTTAATTCTTAATCTCCGTCACTCTCGTCGAAATGTTGCGATCATAAATTTCAACGCAAACTAAACCTGAAGATAACCCACCAACTCGAAATTGCTGCAATCTCGGGACCAGATTTTCATCTCGATGGTGTGTCGTGTGTGTCTTTCTTTATTGCGCTACTTTAGTCTATGACTATCTAGCACATTGGGTTCATTTCTGACCCAGGCCACACCTTGTATAGTGCTCCTATCCTCATTTGCTACTTGAAAGATCATTGATATATTCCCCTTGATGAATAGCCATTCAGCTCAGTGTTTACCCGTGAAATTCGGCCACCTTTTCCACGGAATCTTCCACCAAAAAAATGATAGCAATGGAAACTGCGTGCGCGGGAAAAAGTCGCAAAACACCTGCATCCCCAGCCAGGCGAGGCCTGGACGCCGGGACCACGTGAGGTGCGCATATTCATCTGTATCTCTCTTCTTTGTAACATTCAAGGCCGACTTGATCCAATCTGCCATCTCCGTATCGGGTGCTGGGTACGCCCCAGAAACTCATCGGATGGCTTGCCCTCCATGATCAAGAGTTGGTGATGAGTAGGGCTCCGACCCTACCATCTGATCTGATCGTGGTAAGCTTCATGGTAATGGTGATAGGGGAACGTGCTGAGAGATGAAGACGATACAGACGGCGAAAGCGATTGGAAATCTTCGTCGAAGTGAGGGCTTTGTTACTCAATCTGGGCTCTGCAGGCTCTACAGTGAGAGCTGGAGGCTCATAGGGGACACCACTTACAGTTGTTGAGAATAGTCCCCCATAACTCCATTATTTTCAGGTGCAAGAATAATTATGTTTGACTAACAAATATTTAATTTAATAATTCTTATTTTTGTGTGCGAATATCACATTACACGTGGTATATTCGTTTCAAGCATTAGATCCAAGTAAAAAGAGAGGTTTCCCAATAGAAGTGGATATAATTATGGCTGGAAAGTCGCTACAATTACTTTTTGAGGTAGAATGGATTGGATAAAACGGGATGGCGTGTGAAGTTAGAGCCCAGAATCATCATGCAAAGATCTATATGAAACGCCTGTATCCCGTCTTTTTGTAAATAAACAATAATTATGGGATAACACTCACAATAAATATGGTAGTATTTCTCATAGTTACTTATCCCTCCAAAATCTGTATGATTTCCCATCACATTCAAAGCCATGACCAGAGCTATCTGGTCCACACCACCCTAGAATATTCTTCAGCTAGATGAATGCTAGATCTTTGGTTTGTCAAGAGGAATTATAAAATTTTCAAGTTCCGGTGATTCGGCAAATATGTCAAATGACTGTCAAGACCCCGTCAATCTCTAGTACAAATTCATCCCCATCACTTGCACAAAGTCAGAAATTAAATTCCTATCATTGATATCTCCACAGAGGATTATCACCGTAGGTAATATGTTTTCCAGGGAGAAGTTGTGGCACAAAGCTGTAGTGGTTAAAAGTCATTGATGATGACCTTGTCAGTTTTGGCTCTTATGGGGCATCTGGTGTATTTAAATGGGGCGAGACAGTTGGTCAAATTCTAGCCCGAAGTATCTAGATGTTTGTAATACTATATCTTGCCATAGCGGCGAAGTTACATTTCGGAGTAAATTTCCCAGAAGAAACTAGGCTAGTTAAACCACTTTCTCCCTTCTGGATTTGTACTTCATTTTGAAATAGCCCTATACTCGATGTTACTGGCTGGTAGTCTATATAGGCTACAATGTGTACCATTCACCAGGCTGCAGCGTCCCAGCTTAAGATTTTTTCATGAAAGGAGATTGTTCTCATTGATTCAAACCTCCAAGTATGCAGTAGTACTTTACAAGGTATCAAGCTAAGCTGTCTATAGACAACAACCTTGTCGCTATCCTGTGATATCGGTCATAACAATCAATACGAGCGACATTTTTATTGTGAATACTTTTTCACTCTTGCTCACTTAGTCGAAGTTGCAGATCGCTCCATAGCGGCGCAGCTTGAATTAAATGTCGCTGTCCAACACCAGGAAATCCACCCACTTTGTCCCAATCTGATATGCGCCTGATCCCTAGTTCAGTCCAGACTGACTCAAGGGCTTTGATAAGTTCCTTTTGCATTGCACTTGTATGACTAGGAGTTGGGGTTATACGAAGCCTTTCTTTTCCCACAGGGACTGTAGGGTAATTAATACTCTGTACATAGATGTTATGTTTCGTGAGAAGGAGATCTGATGCAGCTCTGGCGGTTTCAGCATTACCCACCAGAACAGGTATTATATGTGATGGGTTTTGCATCACTGGGATATCTCGTGCTATCAGCTCGTCTTTTACAGCCCTTGTATGTAGCTGCTGCAGTTGTCTATCGCGCTGATACTCCATCTGATAACGGATTGCCATATTGGCGCCCGCCATGACAGCTGGTGGCAAAGATGTAGTAAAAATGAAGCCGGCAGCAAGCGACCGTATTGCATCTATCATATTGAGAGACCCGGCAACATAGCCACCAACACAACCGTAAGCTTTGCCGAGCGTACCAGTAATGATATCGACTCGGTCCATGACAGTCCCTTGCGGCTTTCCAGCTGCGTGGGCACCATAGTCTAGATGTTCAGCCACTCCTGCACCGTGCGGTCCATACATACCGACTGCATGAACCTCGTCAAGAAACGTAAGCGCATTATACTTTTTTGCTAAGTCACAGATTTCGCTGATAGGTGCTACAGAGCCACACATGCTGTACACACTTTCAAATGCAATTATTTTAGGTGTGGAGCTGGGAATAGATGCTAATTTTGCTTCAAGATCATTGAGGTCATTATGCGCAAATATGAGCTTTTTAGCCCCAGAGTGACGGATACCCTGAATCATAGACGCATGATTGAGGGCATCAGATAGAAATACGCATTCTGGTAATTTACTTCCCAACGTAGCTAGAGTAGCATCATTGGCTACATAGCAGGAAGTAAATACTAATGCTGATTCCTTGGCATGAAGTTCAGCGATAGTTGACTCAAGCGACACTGCCTGTTGATTATGACCAGATATATTTCTTGTCCCACCAGCACCAGCACCATAAATATCCAAGGTAGAATGCATAGCTTTTAAAACTTTAGCATTTCGTCCCATACCTAGATAATCATTTGAGCACCAGACAGTTACTCTCTCTGGGTTTCCTGGTAAATGAGCGCGCGGAAACTCAGCAGCAAGTCGATTAATATTGTTGAAATAACGGTATGATTTATCTTTATGTTTTTTATCTAGTTCTGTCTTATAAAAAGCCTCGTAATCAAATTTTTTATCAGTAAAATTCGTTTCAGATTTAGGGCAATTTTTAGCTACCAATGTCAGAACACTATAAGCTCTTTAGAAGTAAATCTGCTACTCAACTTACATTCGACCGGAGCAGTGGACTCTGCAGGGATGGAGCACGCCGAATATGTATGGAATTTACTCTTACTGGTTCTCCGACACTGAGGGGTAGATAACACTTTATCAGTAGTGGTAAGTCTTGCTTTGAGAGCATTACCCATAACAGGACAAAGACGAGCTACGTCTAGAAGTTTTGACTTGTCGCTATTGCGATGTGGAAACTGATGTGAGCTCGTAGTAAACGAGCGAAGGGTTGCCGGAGATGCATTCTTCAGGAACGGACACATTGATTTGAACTGTAAAGCCATAGTTTCCATCGCTGAGGTTTGGATATTTTATATGCCTATTCCTCAGCTAGTATCGGTTCGCGATCTCGTGGTTGAATTACTATCTAACGTTGTGAATATGTGTTGATAGATGCGAAAAAAGATAATTTCACGATGATAACTGTGTTCGTAGATTACTGGCAGTGTTCAAGAAGTCTAGGGTCATATGCACAAGAAATGCATAATGAGTGAAATCTGGCAGCAGCATAAATTGTTTCCTCAAAACTGGTGTGGAGTCAAGTAGATGTCATCATCCTATGTACATGGGTACCGGGCTAAATAGCATGTACACTAGACCTTCGTATACGGTGACGTGCATATACAAATAGCTTCATGTTAAGCTTTCTGAATTAATTTTACGTTGAGCCCAAAATTTTGAAACATACAGCTTTAAACAGACGGAATAGAGTAGAATAGAATTTTATTTATGTCCCTACTGAGTCTATGACTATGAAGGACATCAAAAACTATCTAAATAGCTTAAAATTTAATAGTAAATTTGTATATTGTTGTGCTTAATTTTTGCCAATAGATGATGAGGGTCATGCCCTATTTAAACAGACGGAATGAACACTCTCTGAAAAAAGATTGGAAGACCATAGACCTGTCAGCGTTGTTATCTACGAACCCCCAGCTCCCATTACAAAATCTACAAAGCGGAATTTGATTCCAAAGTTAGGCAGGAGGGCTTCTGTTGCTAATGAATCTACGGCATTTCCCACTACCTAAGACACAGGTGAGTTGGGCTAGAATACCCTGTAGCATACACCCTCTTAAGACTCTTCTTGTATTTAAATGCAGCTTGTGATTCATCCGTAGGCACCAATGATGGAAGGTTTGGCAAGAAGACTCGAAGTGCAGAGAGGCTTTTCTTGAGTTTACACAAATCTGCAGCGCACTGATGGCCGGCCTCCTCCAACGCTTCAGAAGGGTAGCATCTTTTTCGAATTTAGTCCCGATGCTAGTATTGGGTGAACCCGTACTACGACTGGCCTCGGGTAGTCACTGAAATATTCCACTGCAAGGTGGAAGATTTGTTGCTTGGTTTTGGGACCTAAAGCTGCTCAGTACAGCTAAGTGGGTAGTTGAACAAGCGGACAGGCAACTAGACTTGCTCAAGTCTCGACGATGTACGCCAATTTAGGGCGCTATCAGAAAAGGCTCGAGTCTCGGTTCAGTGGATACCAGCCCACCCTGGGATACAGGGAAACGAAGAGGCTGATAGAGTTGCACGCTCCGGCCTCCGACAACTTATAAGTAAAGAGAGCCAGCCTGGCTCCGTCACTTTGGCGTACGTTCGTCGTCTGATGAACCAGAAACGTCAAGCTCTTCTCGAGGAATGGTGGGAGGAAGCATGTCCACTTAGGTATCGAAATCTGGGTCTACTCATGCGACGACGCAAGCCACAGGAGCAGGCACTTTCTCGGCGGTTACTCCGTGAACTGATCTCAGCCCGAACGGGACACGGAAACTTCGCTGCATGTCACCGTCGTTTCAACAACTTCACCGCTTCCATGGAGTGTGCGTGTAGAGAGGAAACATCACCTCTCCACTTCATTCACTGTCGACTGCACGAACGTCAGACGCGTCGACTCCGAGGGACAATGTCACATCACGACTTTGTCCAAAAGCTTCTCGGGCCTAAGTGCCTTGAGGATTTTACAAATTTTGCGCAGGAAACCGGCTGCTTCGGCGACTCACCTGCAAGTCCGTCACCAGCTCTCAGCGGAGACAACATTAACTAGGTCATAGCACGAAGCATGACAGGAAGGAAAACGAGACGAGGAGTGTCGCTTTCCCACCTCAAATTGGAGTATTAGATTTGGAATTTTGGTTATGGGAGTCTGTGGGAGCATTTGTATTCTTTCTTATAACTAGCTACTGGTTGTGTAGTGGGTCACGCAGTGAGATCGAGTCGGGCATGTGGGAAGCATGATCTTGGCCGTGTACACCGGTCCTTGAGTCCTAGGAGATATAGAGCATAGCTTAGGACCTAAAATTTAAAAAAAAAAAAACTAGTCTTGCTCAGCTGAAACCTGCACTAGCACGCCTCCAGAACTGATGCTTACTCATCCATGAAATGGTCACGTGACATAGGTAAAACAAGTCTTGTGAGAACGAGCTGTAGCACCCCACACCTTGCAAATTTGCAATATTTTCCGGCTATCATATACCTGCAAATAGCCTTGCTTTCTTTGATTGGATATGGGAGATAATGAAGGGCAAAATGCTACTCTAAGTGTATGATTGAATGAGGAGTAGCAGCTTCTGAGGGGAGCTGTGTTAATCGACTTTGAACTTGATCGTCGACTTTGTTTATTGGTCTGATATCACAGACACGGGAATAGATTCATGAGATTGCTTAATGAGAGGCTAGGATTAATTCCGATATAATTTGGTTGAAGACTTGTCCTCAAATTTAGAGGCTACAATGTCTTTATATATCTACGTATTTACCCCCATATTCACCATATCCGCTAGCCATTCGATATCTAGCGTGCATAGCCTGATTTATCTCATGGTTTTGGGATGGAGATGTAGTTTCCCAATAGCAGTATTCTTTTAGCTACTACAATACGTAGCAGCTTCAGATATAGTTTACCGTGCGATACTTCCACCTTAGCTACATGCCTCCTTGATATACTGCCCGCTCGGTAATCAGTGAGATAACCGAAGCTAAACCTTAACAATAACCTTAATTACGAAACCATGAATACCTAAGACAGAAGCCTGCAATCTACCACAATTAGGTTAGGAATTGCCAACTACAACCTAATCCAAACATGTGTAGAAGACGAGTCTTTTTTTCTAATAGGCAGATACGATCATAGTTACATGAATTACTTTCTGGCATCGCCCAGCGAAACTTTTGGTCTCATAGCCAAGCGGTCAGGCGCTTGAACTAGTCTCTGAGGTTTTTGTGTTGAATTGTACCAGTTGAGTCAAAGAATAATTGGCAAATTGGGCTCCTCCTCGATCCACTCTGCGTCTTTTCCAGCACTCCTATCCTCTTTTGTAACGGAAATATATGTCAGACATAATACCTATAGTGGTAAGCCAGTTAGCCCAGTAACCACTCATAGATTTTAGCCGCATTCTCCACGGAACCTTCGGTGTTCCAGGTTGAATCTGAGCGGACTGAATGACCGCTAATAAGAGTCGAGAACACCCTTCTACGCATTTAAATAGATAATATGGGAGGATGAAGGCCGAACACCTGTCAGTGGTGTCCTCTACGAACCTCGGAGTGAAATATTCTCCCAGAGCCGAGATTCAATCACGAAAAAGGGTGGCATGAATTTTATCTGATGAATTTTCGGCTTAAAGGAGTCGTACTTGGTATTTTGGTCGAAACATCAGTTGACAGAGAATTCGTAACCGCAAGAACTGGGGACTATTCTCATCACCTGTAAGTGGTGTTCCCTACGAACCTCCAGCTCTCATTGTAGAGTCTGCAGAGCCGAGATTGAGTAACAAAGTCCTCACTTCGACGAGGATTTCCAATCGCTTTCGCCGTCTGTATCGTCTTCATCTCTCAGCACGTTCCCCTATCACCATTACCATGAAGCTTACCACGATCAGATCAGATGGTAGGGTCGGAGCCCTACTCATCACCAACTCTTGATCATGGAGGGCAAGCCATCCGATGAGTTTCTAGAGCGTACCCAGCACCCGATACGGAGATGGCAGATTGGATCAAGTCGGCCTTGAATGTTACAAAGAAGAGAGATATAGGTGAATATGCACACCTCACGTGGTCCCGGCGTCCAGGCCTCGCCTGGCTGGGGATGTAGGTGTTTTGCGACTTTTTCCCGCGCACGCAGTTTCCATTGCTACCATTTTTTTGGTGGAAGTTTCCGTGGAAAAAGTGGACGAATTCCACGGGTAAACACTGAGCTAAATGTACATTCATCAAGGGTAATATATCAGTGATCTCTCAAGGAACATGAGAGGCAAGGAGCACTGTACAAGGTGTGGCCTGGGTCAGAGAGGAGCCCAATGTGCTAGACAGTCATAGACTCAAGTACTACAATAATCAACACACACTCACTGGTTTAGTCATTGCCTTCCATAGTGTTGTGTTGCTGTTATACGGGTGGAAATCACCTGTCTCGAATGGAATATTTGTGGGAGCTACCCAGGCTCTTCTTGGCAGAACAGGCTGGACAATGTACCACTGCGCCATTCAGCCACAATAGAAGCTCCAGCTGTTGGAGGGGAGAGGTCACACAGATCAGTACGTGCAGTCTTCGTAAGGTAAGGCGAGATTGGCGACATATAATGCTAAACAAGCGCTGCCATCTCCAGAATCTATAGCTACCTTGCCACCCTACATCTCGGCCCATCTATTGACCTCGCGTCTCTAAGTTTGTAGGGACAAACTATCAGGACACTGCGCTGATTAGACCGCAGCCACAAGTTTCAGAGGCTTTCGTGAGCCTAGTTGCCTGCTCACTGGCAAAGGCGGAGATCAAGCTTGCATAAGACGCCGTCATATTTCCTCCTAAATTAAGCTCTGTAAGTCGGTCTTCACCATGCACTGTCTCAGGGACCGAGGGACCAGCGCTCCGTCAGACGTACATCGAATGCCCATAGGCCCCAAAGAATAACCGGATAATCATACCCTCCACGCACGGGCGGCGTCAAGAGTTAACAATCGGTACGACGACGTTACCTGCGGCCTCCATACATGCAATTTTTTCTTGAGGCGGACGCCACTGCAAAGCATTTGAACGGCTGGTGGTTATCCCCATGTCGCCCTTTCCCTGTGAGCTCGCTGCACATCCACTGGATCCTTATCACTACCATTATCAGCCAGTCTCAAAGACAGGCCTGCTCATGCAGCGACCGATGCATTGCCTTGCAGATGGATCGCGAGTGCTCATACCTAGAATTCGTCCACCACCGAGCTGGCCCTTGGACGACGACGTCGAGCATAATTCCGAGTCTAGTTATTCATCACTCGCGCGTCGCAAGAAATAATGAGGATGATCATGTCTATACTTCACTTGCTAGCCTGGGCCGATTTGCACAAGCTGCATGGCTGTATGTTCCGTCTACGTGACAACGCGTTCCCAGCCTGGACATTTGGTGAGTGGAGGTGTGCCTGAATGGCTCACTCTGGTCAACCCGCGTGCGATTGAGCTTTCGGATGGTCATTCGGCGCGCGAGGTCGTGAAACCCTTAAAGCCTCCTAAAGTTGTACTGCTGCTGACACAGTTTTGCGCATGTCCTTGGTGCCTGACAGCGCTGTCCTTGCTCTCCTCGCTTGTCGATTCCCACCCATCCAGCCGCAAAAAACGTAAGCGCACTGCTGAGTCTTCGTCATTCCAAATAGCTTGTCCTCATTTGAGGGTCATGATCCACTTCTTACGTTCCATCAGAGCCTTGGGAAGCATGATTCTGATCCATATCTCATATCGCGGTCATCTAGCATGGGTCATGATGTAGAGTTTAAATATTTCTTGCCTATTTTACTATATAGCTACGATACATAATAAGTGTCGTATACACATATCAAATGATGTTGAGATGAGATAGACTCACGCTGTGGATTCCTCCCGTGCGCATCCATGCAAAGTGTCGTTATTTGTACAATAAAATTAGCCCCTATTCAGGAGAGCCCGTCAAATGTCATTTCAAAGCTTTGAGTAATCCTAATATATCTTCAATATACTGTACCCCGGGACCGTGTAAAATGTGGGCAGGTCTTGCAAAAAGTTAACTGAAAACCTCTGGCCTCAAATGGGATACGCGCTCTCAGCCAGATTTACATGAAACTCACGCATGTCATTCACTGCTTTCATCCCGTAACTTTGCTTGGTTACTGTGTTAGCACATGATGATTGATCCCTAATTATTTGAGCTGGGGGTGTAAATGCCTATAAATCTACTAAAGTAGAGCTTATGTAATGTACTGTAGACAGTAGTATAGACCATAAGCCAGGAAAACTATTTTCCCTTGGACGCTAAGATTAGTCAATTTTAGCATTATTCATATGTTGTGTGGGGTACTGAGACCGTTCCAAATCGTTATCTAGTGATTTACAATAATCATTATTAGATTATTTCCTGTCTATCCTCCAATGTTAAGATCGGAATACCATCAATAATGGTTCGTTTCTGTTCCCAATGTTCTCCAAAGTGCAGAGTCGTAAATATAGAGAGAACTCCAAATTACAGTTCCAGATTCAGTAAGACTATTAAAGAAAATATTAGATTCGATTAGAGAATGGCTTCGCAGGTGTCTTTCCAGAACATTTAATGTTAACTTTATGTGCCAGAATAACATCTGCAACGTTATCAGGAGGCTTGAGAAGAAGCGGACCTGGTTTGGTGGAGGCCGATAACCGTATAATTACCAAAAAAGGCTTTGGCATATGATTTCTAGAATTGTTCCTTAGTTGGATTTTGTTTTGAAATATAGAATGCACTAATCTATTTGAATGATGTAAAGACTAGTAGGGATTTCGTGCGGGTGAGGCTCATGAATGTCTTGATCTAGGATGTTTTTCGCCAACTTGCATGCCCACAAGAACGTTGTCTCCTGAAAAAGATCCTTCTGAACTTGGCAATCTGAAAGGTTATGGATCTACTGATGAAGCAGAGAGATCTTGGCTCTACAAGATCCTTGTCCTCTCCCACTTAGTGTTTCAATAAAGCGTAAGTGGTCAGGCTTCGTCGACCGATAGACACCCCAAATCAAATAACCTTTAAAGAAATAACTAATTGGAATGCTTGGCGTTATCAATTTACCTTCAAATCGATCTCTGCGTGCAGTTATTGCTGGGTTTTTGTTGAGATCTTCATGATAGATACTCCATAAATTATTATTAAATTGCCATTCTAGTACGCAGGCCGAGTGTTAGTAAGACAAACATCGGCGATTAACGTTTCGCTGTCATAAAACCATCTGAATGGTTGTTAGTTGAGAGGCATGAAGAGGTCCAATTCATGCGCGCAAAAGGCGAAATTTGGCCGAGGAATCAACGACGGTTGCGAAAGATAGTCTGCCTTTTTAGTCGCTTCCATCCGGAGTGGGTCTCTTACATTCTCACCGCCAGCTCGGCATGAAATGAAAAACTCTCTACTAAATGAAGGGCTTCTGGTACAGCGAGAATCTCAATGACTAAATATCCTTTCTTGGAAGACATGGGAACTGCGAGGAAAAACATGGAAGCAGAGATGTATCCGCCGAATTTTCCAGCAAGCATCTTTCTGTTTACAGCTCATACCCACTATGGTGGAGAAAGCTCATAACATAGCCTCATGAGCCGACCCACCATGTTCATCTAGACCGAAGCGCGAAGTAGGCCGGCTAATTAGAATTTTGGGAATTTCTCGGTAAGAAAATTTGGGGTGGGATCAAGGTTGAGGGCATCATCTTAATTGAGGTGTTAGTAGCTCACAACATATACAGTGAGGGCACCTCGACTACCTTCAATCAATTTATCACGTGGGCGGACAATCAAATCGGGGTGTGTGAATAGCGCGCCATGACTTAGTTGCGACTTATTCTTATCTGGATGGCAAGCCTAGCGCTAGACGATTACTGCACTTCCACAACCGTTAGGAATCTAAGTTGTTTGTATTATTCAATAACATGATGCTGACATACCCATTGTTTATAGGCCTCAGGCCATAATGCCCGACTACGTCGCCGAATGACGGCCCCTCCCACCAGCATGGCCCGTACTACATGATGCTCTTCCTTTGCGCTCCCTTACCTCAGATTGAACATACGAGTTAATAGCCTCTCTTTTCTTACGTCCCCAGAGAAGAAGTTATCTGGTTCCATTTTCGGCTCGCAGTGAACAACATTCAAATTTCATGTAAATCTTGGTCTCACGTATCTGAAGCTTGTTCCAAATCTTTTCTAGAGCCCTATTATAACGCTTCTTCGAAAGAACTCATGAGAAGATTTGGTTACATAAATACCTTCAGATCGATTATAGCTTTCTTGCGATAAAAATATCATGGATTACTCGGGGATTTGGCACACACAGGATCCAACAGGTAACAACTCCCAAGATGGCTTTCAACAGTTCTTCGACACGCATCTCGATTGTCTAAATCCTGAATTTAAAGGATTCACTCGAAATTTATCACAAGGCTCTGTAACCTACTCCCACAATGAATCAATGGAAGGAAGTTGCAAAAACGAACAAAAATCAGAAACTTATGGCCACAATACTCAAGAATCATCTCTTTCAAATGAGGCCATGAGAAATTTGGCTAGCTACAGCGAAATACTACTTCAGACACATGAACACCAAACTCTTGAAACCCCTCTAGAACTATCTGCCCGGATTGAATATCTCCAGCGCCAGCAGCGTCTTCATAAAGAGTATGAAATGCATGACCTGCAGCAAAAAACATTCGCCCAAACTAGAGCAATTCCTCCCACGCCTACCAGTGTTGAGATGAACTGTGTCAATACCCACTTTTACAACGAAGCAGTAGATAGCCAGCAGCACACCACCTTTGAAAGATACCCATCACAACTTACAGAGCAAGAAGTAAGTCTAGACTCTACTTTAATAACCTAAACTTGATCTAACGGCGAAATAGATGGCTTTCACTCCCCTAGTTTCACCGGCAGTTACGCCGATCGAATACCAGCCCAATCCATCTGAATATAATTTCCAGGGAGCATATTTTAGCCCTCTCAGCTCTCCAGCTATTCAAGCGCAAAATGAGAATCAATCATCGCACGATCAGCGATATTCTCTTCTCGCTAACTTCCCTATTGATTTGGACATTGATCTAAACACAGTCTCTGGAGGCTCTACAAACTTAACTAGAGGTTTAAATTTGAGGACCTCATCAACACAAATCCGAAGACCAGCGAGAATACGCAAATCACCAACAATAAAGCCAACAGGGCGGCAAAAAGGCTCAACACAATCCTTAATATTCTCTTATGAAGGATCAGGGTCGCCTCAGATAAAGGCGAAAGCTTCGAAATCTAATGTTTCTAGTTCAAAAACTCCTATGGTAGCCTCAGAAAGTAATTATTTGGCTGCTGAGAACTACTCCAATATGCCACCCCCTCCGCTTCCATCTCCTGTGGTAGCAGGTCGATATATGCAAAACAGCCTCCAAAATACTAACGCTATAATCCAAAGCCACCATCTTCAATGCCCGGCTACTCCAGCGTCGCTCATGGGAATTAGTCAAACGACAAAAGCAAGTCGTAGCGAAGACTTGTATTTAGAGAATAGGCAGATAGATGATAACTCTTTATCAAATATATCGAACATTTCGAGACCCCAAACAAAATATAATTCTGAGCCAAGTGCGATATTTTTTTCGGCTACAACTAATTCTACAGGTGCATCAAGGATCCAACCTTTGCCGTCATCTCCCCTTTCAAAGCCTAGCAAGAATTCATCACTAAGTCCAGGCTTACCAACTGAAAATCAGGAAATATCTACCAAATCAGAATGGAAGACTAAGACTGGCCCACGTGTCTCAAAAAAGAGAACATGCATACTTGCATCTCCTGCAATTCTTCCTCGGATCTCCCCGAACATTAAAGCCTTGCTACCGAGTGGAGATAAAGTTCATGAGGACACTGCATCATTAATTCTAGCCTCAAAATCGAACTATCAAAATATACTCGAAGGCAACCATCTCCCTGGTATCTCCTACTCATCAGAGTTATCGTCACATCTAACCTCAAAGCGGACCTCTCATAAGCTTGCAGAACAGGGGCGAAGAAACCGAATGAATTCTGCTCTTCAAATAATGGCCACACTTTTACCCCGAGGTTCTTCCGCGGAAAATGGAGCCGAAAAGGTTGGAAGTGGAAGTTCAGGAGATGGTGATGGTCAAAGAGGGTTCTCTCAAAGTGCTAATAGCAAGGCTAGTACAGTGGAACAGGCGATAGATTACATTAATTTCCTGAAAGGACAACTAGATGTAGCAAACAAAAAGTTAGAATTAATTGAGCGAAGTAACTCGGAATTGGATCAAAAATTACCATCTTGATTAGCTCTAATAGGGAGTAGACCGAAACTTACAACCTCGATTCTTGGTGCCTCAAAAACTTCACGCTCGGTTCATAAGTCCGGTAAATATTAACTTTTACATTCAAGATACTTGGGATCTTTAAGCTGTGCATAATCTGTTGCCATCAAATTTCGAATATGAATTATTATATCAATTTGCCCCTGATATCCCGGGAACTAGACGCTATTCTGTAATCTTGAGTCCCAATTGTAGGCGAACATTAGTTGACAATCTCAATACTCAACCATTACTCATATCTATCGCCGAGTGCTGGTTTCTATCAAATCATGACTCTTACACACCGAATAGAGTTTTCTTGACTGCGAAAATTATGACTAGCTCGGTAGCTCAAAATATACCTCAGTCCTAGTTTGAATTTGAAATTGTGGTAAATTGAAAGTTCTCAAACTATGGTAGTCTTAATCACTTAACTTACGATTTGATAACTCGGAAATATCATGATTCTTGACTCAAATCAATGAATCTTACATGACACTAATGGACTCATGTATACCGTGGCAAGAAGATCTGTACCGCTAGATTTCAGTTAAAGACCAGTCGCATTGTTAATTGGCAAAAGGCAACCGAAAATCTAAGAAAATAATAAAAAGGCCACCTACATTCCGGACCAAGGGATTATCTATCAAATAAATTGTAGAAATCTAAAGCTTTCACATGACACTCCAGCGCACGATCTAACCTGTAGGCGTAGATTGCTGAAGTAGATCTGATCGATAATTTTGTCAAATAATGGATGGTGGCGGATATCCAAAATGTCTGTGTTCTTTGGACAAGGTAATAACAGGGCCCGAGAGCAGGATCTTCCAACAACTTTGACTTTTATGTCTCTCAGCCTTACCATGAAAACCCTTATCTCCAGCGATGATAATACATGGAGATTTCAGCAACTCCGACTTAAGAAAGTCCGGTCATGCTACCGTAAATCAGCTGAGTAAGGAGTGAACATGTGGACTATTAGTAGATTGGTTTATAGCTTGCTGTTTCTACCTTAATAGTATACGTAAGCTTTACCCATAATCATCATCAAATTAGTGAGAGAAGGCCTTCTACATGGCTCTCTTATTCTATCGCCGACCCGACTATCTCGCCATATCCAAGGAACCTGTAACAGCTAGCGACTGCACACGATTCATTGAACGAGCAAAGAGTGCGTGGTCTAGCTAGCAATGCTAGGATATAGAAATTCATGCTTACTATATGCAAGATTCCAATCAAGCCATTCCAACTGGTCTCGCGTTCAAAGAGGTTCTAGCTAATAGATCACTCCCGGTGGGCATTCTGTTATTCTATATTTTTATCTAGGTCGTGTCTGATTCAATGATAGCCATGTGGCCTCGGTGATTTTATGGATTATTTGTATTACATCGAAGGAAGTGCTGAGAATCTCCAATTTTACTTATGGTTTAGTGAGTACATCAAGAGGTTCGATGCAGTATCGGACGCGGAGAGAATGCTTTCGCCAGCTTGGAAAGTAGATAGCTTAGATACCAGTTATTTATCGTTTGAAGAGATGGAAAAGATAGCCGAGGCTGGAGAGAGCACGTCTATCTTGCAGTCATGTAGGCCCTTCACAATTCCTTCATTGTCCCCTGCCGCTGACAAATGGTGCTATCTCTAGTGCAGCCGATGCGGAATGAGGTCGATAATATTATTCGTCTCTACATTGAAGCCAAAGGGCCAAGAAGTCTGAATCTATCGGTGTTGGATCGAGCTCACTGTCTTCATGCACTTCGTCAGACTACCCACCCCACTGCCTTTTTATTTGCTATTAGAGTTGCAACCTTGACTCTCCAAGGCCTATCACATCCCAATTTCATTCGATGGTCCATCTGCAATGGCAACAAGCCCCGCGTCTTATTTCTCCGGTCAATTGCTATATTTCACATTATCATGGGTTTTATTGTCGCTAGCTTAATGGTCCTCTCGAGTATAAGTCGCTGGTACCGATTGATGACTTTTCTCCCCTGGTATTTTGGGTCTGTTACCATTGTCGCATCATACAAAGGTCTCTGTATACTACTACACAGTACCTATGCACGAGACCTCCGACCATGGGAGGAATATGGGTATGAGGTAGGCGAAAGAGCGGGGCCTCAAGCACGGCCTTGGAGAATCAGAACCAGCAACGAAAATATATCGCCCTTACCTCTTAGTCATGGCCCACAACGTCCCATGCACGGTAGAGAGTTAAAGAAAAGAGGGCTATGGGCACGGTGTTTTGGGAATTTTCCGACGCCAAAAAAATTCGTCCTAGGTACCACTTGGGCGCAAGACGAAAACCTGAAGGCGCTTCAAGACCGCATCGCACTGGGTGCATTTTTATGGGGTGCCATATTTACGATACCCTTAGTTGCCTTGAGTGTCGCGCTTCCAGAATTCTGCCTCTATTAATCTTTGCCATTCTTTTCTTCCTGAGTTGTCGTGAACTGTGATATTAGCGTTGCGCACTTTACTGTATTTCACTCCGGATTCGGTGTTGAAGGCTACAGGTGATTGGATTATGTATAAAGCAATTAATCTTTACGGCATACTTCTCATGTATAACTAGACTATCGCAAAATAGTCTGCGATTTAGAGCATTTATTAACTTTATCTCGTCAGCTTCTTGACGCAGGCAAAATCTGCATTACGGTGACTTATTTTCGCCCGACTTGGAAAAGGCCTGACACAGGTTTATGGGCGATAACACTCGCAAGTTCATTGGATCTGTGCCGTGGAATGCAATTGAAGAGTTATCCAGTCGCCGCCGTCTTGAGCGCAAGCCTGCCATAACTGATTGGGAAGTCTTGTGGAAGATTTGGTGACCGATTCACCTAATTGGGGAGTGTGTTAATAGTCGAATGGTGCACCGTCCAGGACAGCCTTTCTGAAGAAGCCCGGGTGGCCGAGATACCTATCCCGTTCGATACTGACATTGATAGTTGAACTACAAATAGGTCCGATTATCCTATTTGCAGTGTTAAAGTATGGGATATAGCAGACACGTCTTGAAAATTCGAGATTTTGAATTTCCCCCTTGCTGACACTGACAAAGACGACTCTTTTTTTATTGCATCAGATTTTAATTGCGTATGCAGCTATCTAGCTATGACACAATACCAAAGAAAAGTACAGAAAAAATGACTCAATTTACAAGAGGAGCACTCATGCCTCAGATTTCATTTGCAAGTACCACTGCGAAGTTATGGCGGCTTTTTCTTCACCCCAAGTCAACCCTCATCCGTGAATACCCACCCAGGGGAACATCTCAAAAACCCTGAGTTATCCAGACATGCCTCCGTCATTCATCAACTTTTCTCCGCGCGAAATATGATCTGAGATGTCTCCTTCTCAAGTGGAGTAGGTGCCCAGGCTACTCAGACTATACCGGAGAACACCGCCAGGAGGCGGACCACAACACCTTCCATCGTTTGCTTGTGTTTATAGTGTCAGCTGCACTCTCGCAAGCGAAGTCTTGGCGCGCACAAAGCTCGATTCGTAAAACTCTTGCCAAAATTCAAAATTTCACGCCCGTCGAGAATGTGTCCCTCTTTTGCATCATCTTGTAAACTTGTCCTGACCCCTCTCACGTCCATCCCAAAGAACTATCTCCCAGATTTGTGCGCCACACTTTGCTTCCTCTGTCGGATATAAATATCGGCGTGGGCGTGTATTTGGCGGTCAACTAAGGCCAGAGAAAGTCGACTAGAGGTGTGATCATTGGGGTGAGGATGTACTATGTCGTACTTGTAGACTTGATGAAGCTTAGTCGAGAATCAGACTCTTTGGGAATGAAAGATTGACGTGGTGGAGTAATTTGAATTTTTGCCTCGTGGGCCAACTTCTTTGATATTGCGAAATTTGACTGAACTTGGCTCTGGGGGAATATTTCACTCCCAGGTTCGTAGAGGACAGCGCGTACAGGTGTTCAGTCTTGCCCTCCGACAAAGACGACTCATTACATCGGGGGGGCCTAAGCTACTTAAAGTAGTCTTGGCGAATGAAATCCATCTAGATTGGATTTCTCATCGTTTTCCTTTGACTTCTCTAGCTGAGAAGCTCCAATTCGTTTGAAATGCGTCTGACTATAGTTTCTAATGAGCCGAAGACTTTGAGGTACTGCTGATGGCCGTCCAAATTGCCTTTGATTCAACAGTTCTTTCTCAATTTAATTTTGTTCGCTTGCTTCCACGAGACCGATTCTCTGGCGCTTGTGTCTAGATATGTGAGAGGATATAAAAAGCTCGGTTTAATTTGGATTTTCATGTGCAGATTGCCATCTAGTATAGGAGCGTCCCGAGAGTCAATGGCGTTCAGTCTTGGATAAAAAAGATGGCAATTTGTGATTTGACTCGACAATCGAGTGCAAATTAATATGAATAGGTGTGCGCGTGGCATGGTTTGCAGTGGCTCAACGCGATCCGGGCCGATCCGATCTCAGTGGATTGTTTCAGCGAACCGGGGCTTCGTTCACTAATTGTCAAACTCTGTAGTCGCCTTGGGGAGCCGAGCCGCATTCCCAATTCCGATTCGGTCGGAATACTGACCTCATGCTGTTTGACGGCGAATTGCCGATCCATTCTTTCCGGAGTCGTTGATTCAATTGCCCATTCTCTCACTACTCAAGCCATTCCCAGACACGTCAATTGTACGATAAAGAGCAGAAGATTCTTTGCGCTTCACGATCGATTGATTTCAACCCAAGTTTCCATGCAATCTATCACTATGAAGAACTGCTAAAGCAATCTAAAAAACTGTAAGCCCGAATGGTAATTCCTAAACTTGATTTGTTAAATGTTTACCGATAAATAAATAAATAATTCATTATCCCGATTTGGCGCCGTGAGGCCCATGCAGGTTTTTATCAGAAGATATGTACTTTAAACATGGCGACTCAATTTGACGTTTAGAACACCCACTCAAATTTCATTTGCAGATACCACTCGAGGTTAACCCTTACGGCGTATAATCTCTTCCGT